GCTGATTTTTTTTTTTTTTTTTTGATTTATTGTAGAGATGATGTCTCGCTGCCCAGGCAGGTCTCGAACCCGCGGGCTCAGGCGTGGTAGTATTTTTAAATGGGGTAATTGTACTCCATTGTGTCCCTAACCTCCAGCCTCTGGTACCCACCATTCTACTCTCTAATTTAACTTCTTAAAATTCTACATATAAGTCAGATTGTACAGTGCTGGTCTTTCTGTGTCTTGCTTATTTTACTTAGCATGAAGTCCTCCAAGTTCATCCATACTGTCACAAATGATAGAATTTTCCCCAAAAGGTATTTAGTTACCAACATTTGCTCATAAAACTGAAGTTCAGGTCAGGCTCAGTGACTCAGCCTGTTTGGGAGGCCGAGGTGAGTGGATTGCCCAAGCCTGCAGGTTCGAGACCAGCCCTGGCAACTTGGTGAGACCTCTTCTTTACAATAAATCAAAAATTAGTCAGACATGGTAGCACGCACCTGTAGTTCCGGCTACTTGAAAGGCTGAGGTGGAAGGATCCACCTGAGCAGGTCAACACTGGGGTGACCGTGTGTGCCACTGCACTCCAGCTCCAGCCTGGGTGACATGGTGAGACTCCAACTCAAAAACAAAACAAAACAAAGCAAGTTACAATCCTTGTCCTGGAATAATATGTATCTGTTAGAAGAATAAAATGTAAATGCCAAGTTGATTTTTTTTTTTTTTTGAGTTGGGATCTCACTCTGTTGTCCAGGTGCAGTGCAGTGGCATGATCATGGCTCACCACAGCCTTAACCCCTTGGGCTCAGGTACTCCTCCTGCCTTAGCCTCTTGAGTAGCTGAAACTACAGACGCACACTACCACCTCTAGCTAATCCAAGTTTATTTAAACATATTCAGTGATCAGTGCAAACAGCAAGTTTCTTGGCCTAATAATTAGAGGAAAACTGGCTATAGGTATAGGATCTATCACTGATTGTATGACTTATAATGTCACATATATGGAGTGATTTAAATAATAAATACATTAGAATAAAGGTCTGTTGATTCAAAAAGGGGCAGAGACCAGGCACAGTTGTTTGTACCTGTAATCCTAGCACTTTGGGAGACTGATGTGAGAGGATCACTTGAGGCCTGGAGTTCTAGATCAGCCCGGGCAAATAGTAAGACCTCCATCTCTAGAAAAAAACATTTTTTAAAAATTAGCTAGGTATGGTGGTGCACACCTGTAGTCCCAGCAACTCAGGAGGATAAGATGGGGAGATTACTTGAACCCAGAAGTTCGAGGTTGCAGTGAGCTATGATGGTGCCACTGCACTCCAGCCTGGATGAAGTGGGGAGGAATGCAGTAAAATAGTTATTTCCTTTACATTTGTATAGTGTCTTTTTGTTGTGCTTTATTTTTTTATTTTTATTTTTTATTTTTTTTGAGATGGAGTCTCACTCTGTCGCCCAGACTGGAGTGCAGTGGCCGCTCCTGGCCACCACAGCCTTGACCTGCTGGGCTCCGGCGATCCTTCCGTCTCAGCCTTCCAAGTAGCCGGAACTACAGGCGCGTGCTACCATGCCCAGCTAATTTTTGATTCACTGTAGAGATGAGGTCTCGCCAAGTTGCCCAGGCGGGTCTCAAACCCGTGGCCTCCCAAAGGCGCGGGATTACAGGCTGAGCCACCGAGCCCGGCTGTTGTGCTTTAAAAAAAGATGTTCTTTGAAGCCACTGAGTAAAAAATAACCAAACTGTATGTGCTTGGTTTGAATGTTTTCATAAACTTGAGTTTTCTCTTTCAGATTTAGTGGAATTTAACTTGGGTAGTCCCAAGAATGTGGGTCCCTTCCTTGCAGTGGACCAGAAGCACAATATCCTGCTTAAATACCGTTGCCATGGTCCACCCATCCGCTTCACAACTGTCTTTAGCAATGAGCTCCGCTATGTGGCGAATGAGCTGAATGGCATTGTGGGAGGGAAGAACACAGTGGTTGCCATAGCCATATGGTCTCACTTCAGCACCTTTCCCTTGGAAGTGTACATCCGGCGGCTCAGGAACATCCGGCGAGCTGTGGTCCAGCTCCTGGATCGAAGCCCTAAGACTGTGGTGGTCATCCGGACGGCCAACGCCCAAGAGCTGGGGCCAGAGGTGAGCCTTTTCAACAGCGACTGGTACAACTTTCAACTGGACATTATCCTTCGGAGGATGTTCTCAGGGATTGGAGTGTACCTCGTCGATGCCTGGGAGATGACCCTGGCCCATTATCTGCCCCACAAGCTGCATCCAGATGAAGTGATTGTGAAGAACCAGCTGGACATGTTCTTGTCCTTTGTGTGCCCCTTGGAGATCTAGCCTGTCCTAGAGGGGACCGGAGGAATCATATTCAGTGACCTTCCAAGTGACTTGCTTTATAGAAAGTGGCCCCACTGAGAGTTGGCTGCCATCATTGTGGACACAATTTCCAAAAGAGATGGACTTTATATAAGCACTAACACCTTCTACATACTCTGTTGCCCTTGTAACCAAAGATGCTAACGAGTGCATCTCCTGGGAGGGGAGATTACTTTGTTAAAGAGTGTGAAAAATGTTCTGACATAAGTGGAAGGAACAAGTTTGGTTGGCAGTGGGATGTTTGTAGCTTATCTGGTAAAGGAAATTGAGGCACAGACAGGAATAGCATCTTCAGGGTGAACTAGAGAAGGCTTAGAGTCAGAGGCTTGTATAAGCGCACTGAAGACTACTGTGTCTCAGGAGTTTCTCTTGATGATCTACCTTTTTTGAATTACTTGAAAAGGCCAACATGCTTGGTCAGAATTTTGTAGTGAGAATATTTATAGTTTCCTGCTTTTATCTAGAAAAGCAGAAGGGAAATATGAAAGCAGTATGTATAAAATCTGTGCTTTGAATTGATATTTGCATTTGGCAGTTGTTTCTTATTTGATTCAATGAAATTGTATGTGTTGAATACATATTCTAGAATAACTGCTTTTGGAACTCAGAGGAGGAGATCTATAAATGAAAATTTATTTTTGTGTTCTGAAATTTGAGGGCTTTAAGAATTGACTTGTATGTAAAGAATGCTATTGGTGGCCGGGTATGGTGGCTCACGCCTGTAATCCCAGCACTTTGGGAAGTGGAGGCAAGAAGATTGCCTGAGGCCATGGTTCAAGACCATCCTAAGCAACATTGCGAGACCTCATCTCTACAATAAATCAAGGCTGGGCTCGGTGGCTCAGCCTGTAATCCCAGCACTTTGGGAGGCCGAGGTGAGTGGATTGCCTGAGC